TAAGTTTTCTTCAACTACACAGTCACTTTGAAATACAAGACATCCCTGAAATATAAGGTAGACAATTACCCACCAGTAGAACCAGTATTTGTTATCCTGAAAAGGCTTGGTGCTCACCCCTGCAATTAGCAAGAGAAGACCTTTAGTGTGGATTAGGAAAATACAACTTGTGGTGGCTGCCTTATCTTGCCCAGCAAAACCAACTACTATTTATACCAGCAATGTGATTTTTTTCAAGCCACCAAGGCTGCACTGATTGCTATAGGGTGAAGAGGGGAAACAGAACCAAATCAGGGAAAAGCCGAGGTTCACAATCCCAGGGCACAGTATTCGTGCATCCATTTGGACAGATTGAAGGCCAGTGGACAGAACAGAGTGGCTCCAGGAATCCAGGAGCACAGCAGCCTCTGGGCATCCCCTGTGAAAAGAAAAATCCCATGTAGCCTGGAAGGTAAATGGGTGTTTGCACGCTCACTCATGTGCCTGCACACGCCTTTGGGGCAAAATTGAGAACAGAGGTGTTTATTTTTCCCTTCTTCCCATTCTTCTCTAAGTAAAGGAGGAGAAGAAATTGGAATTGAGAGGCTGGACCATCCTTTAGTGAGGACACTTGAGACCAAAAGAAAGAGGTCCTGAAAATGTAACCGCAGCCCCCAAACCTGCTGTCCCAGGGGCCACAACAGCCACCCTTTGGAGTTCCTTTCTACTCCTGTCCCCTCTGTCCTTCCGCGCAGAATGTTCTGGCAGCACAGGGTCCCCAGTCCTTGGGAGCTCCTCTCCCTCTCCTGAGTGGCTTCATCCTCCTCTCCCTAAGCAGAAGCTCCAGCCTGATCAGCTGCACTTTCCCCCGGGTATAAGCTGCCTGCGGTAGGAAGGAGTAGTTGGAAGAGCTGTCCTCATCACAGCCACAGCAACAGGAAGCATCACAGCTACCACTTTCGAGTGCTTCCTGTATGCTAAGCTCTTCCCATTTGTCAACTCCTCTAACCCTCATGACAGTCTAAAGAGGGGAGTGGTGTTGTTCTGATTTTACAGACGAAGCCATGCCCACAGTAGCTCTGTAACTTGCTGAAGACCGCAAGGAAGACATGATCCTAATCTAGCAGGTCCAGAGCCCACACCTTTTCTCTCTCCTCTCTGCAGCTCTCTCCAAAGGCATGTTAATAGTAGTCTCTTCCATTTCTGGGACTCCACAGTTTGCAAAGCTGGCTGTGTGTCCCCTTGGACCTTTCCTGGCACAGGGGTCGGGGATGACTTCCACCCTATCCCAGGACCAGGAAGCTCAGGGACATGTGTGCAGGTTACAAGGCAAGAAAACAGTGGCCTCAGCCCTGGAATCCTGCTCTGATGAGTATAGTCCTAGTGGATCACTCCCGTTTCTAAATCCAGCAAAGCTTCCTGATGCCATGACAGGCCAGGCCAACACGAGATGGCTCCGTGCACCTCTCCCCCTGCATCTCACACCACCCCTCTCTGCCAGTCCTCTCCCTTAAGCTGCATTGGTCTTGTTTTAGCCTTTGATTTTTCCATGATGCCTCCCACCCAAGGGCCCTGGTTCCTTCCACCTGGAGCCCTCTTTTCTGTGTCTTCCCTTTAAAAATAGAGAAATAGGGAAATCGTAGGTCAGTCAGAACCTTTTTTCTTTCCTTTGCATGGATCACAATGAATAATGAGATTATTCACATTCCCTGGTAGAATATGTAGAGTAGATGCTTTTGAGTAGTTTCTTTTACTAATTTTGACATTGACCAATCCCTAATAGGGGACCTAGTGAGGAGCAAGACCCTGGAACAGGTGAAGGGAGGGCACAGAGATGAAGACATACAAGCAGCCATTAGTACAAGGCAGGTTGAATCAGGCCAAATGCTTTAAAGGAGTAGGTAGTGGGGGAGCCTAGAGGAATCCTATACATTCAGAGATGATCAGAATAGCATGAAGACTTTTGTTATAGAGGCTCACATGCTTTGATGGGTGAAAAGAGTTTCAGTTGAAAACAGGAAGGACAGAGTGCCTGGGTGGTTCAGTCAGTTAAGCGTCTGACTTCGGCTCAGGTCATGATCTCACGGTTCAAGCCCCACATCAAGCTCTGTGCTGACAGCTCAGGGCCTGGAGCCCGCTTCAGATTTTGTGTGTGTGTGTCTCTCTCTCTGCCCCTCTCCCACTCTCTCTCCCTCAAAAATAAATGAAACATTTAAAAACATTAAAAAATAAAAAAGGAACAGGTGAGGACATTCTAGGCTGAGAGAGTACAGAAAAAGGCACACAATGCCTGAAGATTCAGCAAATCAGAATGACAAAGAGGCTTTCTGTACATTCTTTCCTGGAATCGCTGTGAACTCAGGCCCCTAAATGTGAGCCTTACCACTTCAGGGATTGGGGTCTGTTTTATTCACTGCTGCATTCCTGGCTCCTATAAAAAGTGCCAGGTAGCACTTTGGTAGGTGCTCAATAAATATTTGTTGAATGAATTAGGTAGATAATCATTGCTTCCATTTTACAACTGAGGAAATGCACAGAGAAGTGGATCAAGGTTACATAGAACCAAGATTTTAAGTGCTAGAACCAATATGCTAAGAACATATGGGAAAATATAGTTTATAATGGTGGAGGTGAGAAAGACCTTTTAAAATATAACATGGAAGCTACCTATAAAGGGGAAAATTGATACATTTGGTTACACAAATATTTTCAAAGTTGATTTGCACCCTCCCAAAACATAAACAAGGTTGAAAGAATCAGACTATGTGATGATGTTTAATATAATTTGAAAATAATGTGCTTGATATGTAAAGAGCACTTATGAGTCAATAGGAAAAGTAAACACCCCAACATAAAAATGGACAGATGCCATGAAGAAGCAGTTCACGAATGCATAAATCAAAATAACCAAATCAAATATAAATATATACACATATATTCACTTCACAAGAAATACAAATGTAACTATAAACAATTACATGTTCTTTTATATAGAGGCTAACAGAGTACAATGTTGCTCAAGGTCTAAGGAAGGAGGGGCTCTCATACATTGGATGCAAGACTATAAACTGGTATGGCCTTGCTGGAAAGCAGTCCTATAATACATTCCAAAATGTAAAATGAGTATACTTTCTGACTAAGGATTTTAGCCATTCTAAGAAAATAATCAAATGGTTCTATCAAAATGTCTTTACAAGTAATTCTTATAGTATTCTCTATAATGTAAGGAAACTTTGGAAACAAATAGCCATCAATAAGGGATTAGATAAATAAATTATGATATCTATAAATAGATTTCGTGGCAGCTGTCGTATAGTATGGCATACAGTAGGGTTTGGCAAACTCTGGCTTACAGGCCAAAGCCAGCCCACTGACTGTTTTTTTGTTAATAAAGTTTTATTGGCACACAGCCACACCCAGTAGTTGATGTACCTCTGTGTCTGCTTTCACAGTACAGTGGCCAGAGTTGAGTAGTTGCAACAGAAACCAGAGGCCTAAATTATTTATTATCCATCCCTTTACAAAAATGCTTGCTGATCCCTGATATATAGATATAGTCGTTGACATGGAACTCTCCCTGTGTCATATTACTGGGTCATAAAAGCAAGATACAAAATCACGTGCATAGTGTGTTTCTGTTATATAAAATCATGTGATGATGAGGAAAGGGAAAAAAGGGAAAGAACCTTAAAGACTTAAAGAATGTATTTTTAGGAACAGTTACTTCAGTTACATTTACCAAAATGTACTGGGTTACCTGTGAGTTGTGAGATTTTAGATGATTTTTACTTAGCCTCCTTATATTTTTCTATAATTCCTAAGTGTCTAAAAATGATTGGCATACATAAAATGGATAAATGAGTATTATCTTTGTTATATAGAATTTAGAGTTCCTTTAATTACTTTTTTAAATTGGTTGTTTTTTTTTTTTAATTTTTGAGAAAGAGAGAGAGACAGAGGACAAGCAGGGGAGGGGCAGAGAGAGAGGGAGACACAGAATCGGAAGCAGGCTCTAAACTCTGAGCTGTCAGCCCAGAGCCCAATGCAAGGCTCAAACTCACAAACCACGAGATCATGACCTGAGCTGAAATCAAGAGTTGGATACCTAACCGACTCAGCCAACCAGATACCCTGTGAATAGATTTTTTAAAAATTTATTTATTTGTTTTGAGAGACAGAGAGAATGAGTGGGAGAGGGGCAGAGAGAGAGGGGGACAGAGGATCTGAAGCTGGCTCTGTGCTGTCAGCAGAGAGCTTGAACTCACAAACCATGAGATCATGACCTGAACTGAAGTCAGACGCTTAACCAACTGAGCCATCCAGGTGCCCCTAGATTATTTTTATAATTAGAATACTATACTTACAAGCCAGCTTATACAGGAACTCTAAGATCATGGTAGTGTATGAAGTTTGGGAAGGGAGCAGGGAGCCCTTCACACTATAGTAGTATCTGAAGGCACTATGCATTCTGGGTCATCAAGGGCATTGCCACTGATGTCCAGGAGTCTGTATCAACAAAGTATGCAGTTCATTTCAGAAAGTGGAAGTAATAGAATTGTTGCTTCTTTAAAAGCCTCTTTTATTGGAAAACTTACTTTCACAAAATTCCCCATTCACCTTTGCTGTCAAATAAATGAGATTGTGTCATAAGGCAATTATAACCCCATGTAAACCTGCATTATCCTATTTTTCTACAAATCCCTGGAAGCTAATAGGGTTCTGTATGCTCTCCTGGTTGTAAAGAGGAAACTCAGGTACAGAAACTTTGGAGTGGAGGCCGTGTGACAATAAAAATTCCATTTGCTTTAACATTTCTCCCAAGAGGCAGGCTGTATTTTCGTATGTGTGGCTCGCCAATGATATAAAAGGTAATATTATCGTATTGTTTTCTCTTGAGAATTTCCTGGACATAGTTAGAAATGAATTAAATGCTGTATGCCTTGGGGGGGAAAGTATTTGTTTTCTCACTGAAATCACATGGGTTTTTGTAATGAAATCCTCTCCTCTGGTTTTTTTTTAAGGATTTTATATTGCACGCTGATCATTCCCCTGCACTTCCTTGAGCCTTTCTTTTCATACATCTTCCTCAACCTCCAGCTCATGGTCCTGCAAGCCCTTCACCTCTACTGGTGTTACTACATCCTGAAGATGCTCAAGAGGTGTATATTCATGAAGGTAAGGGCTGGCTGAGTCTAACTGTTCTTAACAAGTAGAGTTCATTGCCAGATTGAAGGTGAGGCCCAGGGGGTGGAACATTCAAGTTAACTTATAGTTAACCAAAATTCTTTATATGTCCTTGATTTGATCGGTATTGATTAAAATGCATCTAAAAGGAAACTATATTTTTCATTAAGTAGGTCTCTGAGGTGCTTTTAAAAATTGCTTTTATTAGAGGACAGTAATTTTTATAAAACTTTCATCCAAATATTGATTGTTGCTTCTTAATTTTTTTAATTTTTATTTATTTGAGAGAGCACAAGCATGAACAGGAGAGAGGGAAGAGGGAGAGAGAGGGAGAAAGAATCCCAAGTAGGGTCCACACTTGATGAAAATCTCGATGCAAGGCTCGATCCCACAACCCTGGGACTATGACCTGAGCAGAAATCAAGAAGACCATGGGGGAGAAGAAGGGAAAAATAGGGGTGCCTGGGTGGCTCAGTCTGCTAAGCATTAGATGTCGGCTCAGGTCATGATCTCATGGTTTGTGGGTTCGAGCCCCGTGTCAGGCTCTGTGCTGACAGCCAGCTCAAAGCCTGGAACCTGTTTCAGATTCTGTGTCTCCCTCTAACTCTTCACTGCTCATGCTCTCTCTCTCTCTCTCTCTCTCTCTCAGAAGTAAATAAACATTAAAAAAATTAAAAAAAGGAGAAGGGGAAAATAGTGGGGGAGAGGGAGGATGGCAAACTATGAGAGACTCTTGAATGCTGAGAACAAACTGAGGGCTGATGGGGGTGGCGAAGAGGGGAAGGGGGTTGATGGGAATGGAAGAGGGCACTTGTGGGGATGAGCACTGGGTGTTATATGGAAACCAACTTGACAATAAACTATTTTTTAAAAAAACACAAAAGAAATCAAGAGTAGGACTCTCAACTGACTGAGCCACCCAGGTGCCCCTTTATTGTTGCTTTTTTTTTTAATGTATGCAAATTGTTTTATTGCCATGAAAGTTAAAAAAAAAAACTAAAAAAACTAAGAGTTTTCAAATTCTGGAGGGATCACATAGGAAGAAAAGATAAATATTTTTATTCTGTTTATAAAAGAATAATTTACTAAATTGCTGTTTTATTTATTTTTTAGTTTTTTTCCTTTTGTAGTTTATTGTCAAGTTGGTTTCCATATAACACCCAGTGCTCATCCCATCAAGTGCCCACCTCCATGCCCATCACCCCCCTTCCCCTCTCCCCCACCCGCATCAGCCCTCAGTTTGTTCTCAGTATTCAAGAGTCTATCGTGGTTTGCCTTCCTCCCTCTCCCCAACTATTTTTTCCCCTTCCCCTCCCCCATGGTCCTCTGTTGTTTCTCTTGTTCCACTTATGAATGAAAACGTATAGTATCTCTCCTTCTCTGCCTGACTTATTTCACTCAGCATAACACCCTCGAGTTCCATCCACATTGCTATAAATGGCCAGATTTCCTTCTTTCTCATTGCCGTGTAGTATTCCATTGTATATATAAACCACATCTTCTTGATCCATTCATTAGTTGATGGACATTTAGGCTCTTTTCATGATTTGGCTATTGTTGAAAGTGCTGCTATGATCATTGGGGTACATGTGCTTTTTAAAGAATGTCCTAATGAGTCTAAATTTGCTCTAGTTTAGGGTAAGCTTTATTGTGGAAGTTGAATAATATTTCAGAACTGTATGGTTACCTTCACTGAGCACCTAATTTGCACATAATGCTCTCCCTCTGAGCTTTCTTCTCCTGTCTGAAATATTGTCCCTCATATGGCTATGTTTTGTCTCTGAAAACAGCTTCTCTATATCATCACAAATTAATAATACATTTTAGACAATAGAAGTTTGTGTTTGTTTTGAGTTCAGTTCTAGGATTTAATCCTAGAACAGGGGTGGGGAAGTCTTTAAAAATGAGTAAAACATGATTACAGCAGCATTTACCTACAAGTGATTACTTATATTGTGGAAGACAGAAACTAGTTGATTCAAGGCAGGGACCAGGGAAAGTTTTATCGAACATACAGAATTTGACTTGAGCCTTTAAGACAAGTAAAACATAAAATAAAATAAAATCATAATTCCTTCATTGTCTGGAAATCATACTTCTTTTTTCTTTAATGTTTGTTTATTTATTTTGAGGAAGGGAGAGTGCACGAGCAGGGGAGGGACAGAGAGAAAATTTCAAGCAGGCTCCGTGCTGTCTGTGCAGAGCTGGATATGGGGCTTGATCTCACAAACCATGAGATCATGACCTGAACCAAAATCAAGAGTCAGATTGAGAAACCCAAGAGTCCCTGGAAATCATACTTCTAAGGGAGTTTTAATTAAGGATCTTTCAAGGTGGAAAGTTACAGTGGGGCAATTTTCAGATGTCACCATCTATGTGTAACATGACAGCATATCATCAGAGTGAATGACTTGTATATAAGGGTACCCTGGCAATTTATCTGATAAGCTCATGTTTTGATTAACTGTTCAATACATTTATTTTCCTATTTTAGTAAATGTGCCTCAAAGGTTATTGAAGAGTTGACAAATGAAATGGACATGGCGATAATCGACCTCTGAGTTGTCTACCATCTCTTAGCTTCTAGATCTAGACAGATGTATAAGAAATTGGGCTGCATCTGGATTAATCTCAAACCAGATTCTGAAAGTAGTTTTTGTTTGCTTTACTAAATTACTGACTTGAACTTGGTTTCTTGAGAGTGGACTCTTTCCCTTAAGTAGGAATGCCAAGAAAAAAAAAAAAAAGCCTTCATCCAAAGAGTCTAGTTTATTAATATCCTAAATAGTTTTCTCCTGACCTCTGCAAAACTTATTTTACCTCTGAGTGACTGATAAAGGTAAAGGGGCTGAGATAAGGTTAAGAAGTTGAGCAGTTAGACAATTTGCACACCCAGGGGCTGGAAGGAAGGCAGGGCCACTGAACTGAGCTGGTCCCACCACTGAGTCAAGCCTTCCTGGAGTGCCTGTCCCTAGGCAGAAACGGTTCCCTTAATCGCTGGTGAGTGACAATAATTACAGTCCTGGAAGGGATCCAGATGGAACAAAACTTGGAGACCAGAAGATACTCTTGTTTGGTTTCAGCATAATTTTTCATATTTCTGATCTCTAATGCGTTGTACCAGGCCTGATTAAAAACCCCGTGGGTTGGGGAGCCGCGGACAGGAATTCCCGATTTCTCATGCTGTACTTTGGAAAAGCTGTTTCCAATTGCAGTTTGACAGCAGTACTGGAGGCCCCGCAGCCCTAATCCCTGAAGTTCTTATGACTTCAGCTGGCTTGCGTGCGCTCTCTGTTTTCCATAGCAGTGGCAAAACTGGCCGTGAAATCAGCTTATTCCTCCAAAGCCATAAAGTGCCTTTTAAAGAATGCTATTTGAAGGCACAGTTGCATTGCAAAGGGGGAGGAGACAGATAAGGCGGGAGTCGATATTCTTAGAGGAACAGCTAGCAAGTCAGTCTTCAACTCTATTTAATATGTAGTTAGCATCTAATGTACGCTCCAGTTGTCACTAAGGTGACTAATTCTTGGATAGTTAAAGAAAGGAATTGCAGAAGTTCTTAGGCCTATTAAAATGTCTTTTAAACCTTATAACGGAGATTGGAAAATTGCCTTTTTAAGCTCCTTATGCCTGGGAGGCCCTTAATGAGTAGTTTTCAATATGCAAATGAATACAGCATTCAAGGGAACAAACCACATGGGCGTGGAAAGTTATAAAATTGTTTATTAATCTTTTTATGGCCTCCGTGGGTTTGCCTGGTAGGCTGGGGAGACAAAAGTGATTATACATCCTAAAAATAGCAATTTCGGACAGATCCAACCTACATTAGGAGGACCTCGGCACGTATATGAATGAAAACCTTCTACCACTTGCTCCTGTTGTTGAATACCTTAAAATAACAGCGTCCATATAATTTCAGGACTCTAATGCATCAGACCATGGTTAGTGGACATCTTGCTCCTGGAGAACAAGACCGGCACTGAAACCGAACTGGTTCCTCGAAAATAGGGGGATTTGTGAGGAACTCCTAGTGCACACATCACGTCAGGAAGTGTGATGGGCTGATACACCCATCTGGTCATTCTCTTTGCAAACATGAGAAGTGCTTTCAGAGGAAACCGGAAGGAGGGTGGCATGCTTTCGTTTAATACTACTTCAGAGCATTCGATCATCCCTATGCTTTGACTTTCTTCTTTCTAAATGTCGCCCTGGGTGCTGGCCAACTCGGGCGTGCCTCCCTGGCATCTGAGGCTGGGCCACAGCCAACATGCAAGGGAAGACGACTGCCCGCAGCCATCTCGGCCAGGACAGAGCCACTAGCCCCTGGCAACCTGCCCCCACCATCTGCTCTGACAGGCAGCGTCTCTTCAGATCACAGATGACACTTGACGCACGCTGAACTCTTTTAGCTAAAGAAAGGAACGCTCTCAGAAACAGGGTAAACTGAGGCCCCAACCAAAGTCACACACTAAGTTGATGGCAAAGCTGAGACTAAAACATAAGTCTCTTCACTTCACTTGTAGTACTTTGCCTTTTCTTTTCTTTTTTTTTTTGTTTTTTTGTTTTTTTTTTTTGTTTTTACAAATAGTTTATTGTCAAGTTGGTTTCCATATAACACCCGGTGCTCATCTCCACAAGTGCCCTCCTCCATGCCCATCTCCCCCCTCCCCCCCACATCCATCAGCCCTCAGTTTGTTTCTCAGCATTCAAGAGTCTCTCATGGTTTGCCTCTCTCCCTTTCCCCCACCATTTCCCCCCTTCTTCTCCCCCTTGTTCCTCAGTTAAGTTCCTCCTAATCCTCCTATACGTGCAAACATGTGATATTTGTCCTTCTCTGCCTGACTTATTTCACTCAGCATAACACCCTGAAGGTCCATCCATGTTGCTACACATGGCCAGATTTCATTGTTTCTCACTGCCATGTAGTATTCCATGGTATAGATAAACCACATCTTCTTGATCCATTCGTCCGTTGATGGACACTTAGGCTC